ACAGAACTGCCGAATTTGATTGTCTTTTTCTCAGACATTATCCTTCTTGACCTTTCAGCATCATTTAATACTGTTGACCATCTTCTCCTCTTGCATACCCTCTATTCTTTCTTCTGGTTTTCTTCTTACTTCTTTGGCTGTTCCTTCTCAATTCCTTTATTGGTTTATTCATCATTTTCCTCCCACATCCTAAGTGTGGGCATCTCCCAAGAGACTATCTCCTTCTCTTTGCCTCCCTTCATTGACTTCAATTATCATCTCCATGAAAATGCCTCACAAATCTAGTAATCCAGATTTCTTCTCTGAGTTCTTATTCCACATCTCTAAAAAATCATCTGATGTCAACATCTCAGGAAAGGTAAGTTTTCCAGTCTTTATTCACACAACTCTTCCTTCTTCTCATATTACTTATATTCCTACCAAAAGAATTTACCAGATGTTCCTTGAACTCTTTCTTCACTCTCTACCCCTAAGCATTGGTGAAGACTTCTACCCATATCTGAAATGTACTTCCTTCTCATTCCCCCCTTTCCCACTAAAATCTTTATGCTCCTCTAGAATTATAGTTCAGGTGTCACTTTAAGAAATCTTCCCCCTTCTCCAGGTTTAATAATCAATCAAAAAAAAAATGTTTATTAAGTGCCAGGTACTGTACTAAGCCCTGAGATACAAAAAGAGTCAAAAGATAGTCCTTCCCTTCAAAGAGTTCACAATTTAATGGAAAAGACAGCAAATAAATACGTATAAATAAGCTATATACAGGATAATTAGGAAATAACTAATAGTAATGATATATAATAAATAGGAAATAATTAATTTTAGTTTGAATTTAAAGGAAGCCAGTAGAGAATGAGCAGGGACAATATTCCAGGCATGGAGCATGGCCAGAGAAAATGCCTTGAGCTAAGAGATGGAGTATCTTGTTCTTGGAAAGCAAGGAAGCCAGTGTCACTGGAATGAACAGTACATGGAGACTGTAGAAAGTCTGGAAAGGAAGGAGGTACCTAGGTAATAAAGACCTTTGACCATATAACAGAGGATTTTATATTTGATCCTGGAGGCAACAGGGAACCACTGGAGTTTATTGAGAAGGGGAGGGTGACATGATCAGACCTGTGCCTTAGGAAAATCGATTGTGTAGCTGAATGGAGGATGGATTGGAGTGGGGAGACACTTGAGGCAGGCAGATCCACCAGTAGGTTACTGCAAAAATCCAGGTTTGAGGTGAAGCAGGCAGAGTTAATGAGGACCTGAACCAGACTGGTAGCAGTGTTAAGGAGAGAAGGGGTGCATGACTTGTTTGTATCTCTTATTTGTTTCTGTTAAATTCTATTATTCTGAGTATGTTATACTTCCACATTAAACTGTAGCTTCCTTTAGTGCAGGTATTATGTAATTTTCTTCAACTCTGTATATATGCCTGCTGTCTAATATGCTAGACATACTAGTTGTTTAACAAATGTTTATAGTGTGGTGTGGTATAGAGAATACTGGCCTTGAAGTCAGGAAGACGTGGATTCAAAACCCACTCAGATACTCACTAGCTTATATAATAATGAGGTAAACTGGAAAGTGGGGAAAGGGAACTATGATGGTTGACAGCATGGTCTGGATTTAGCTAGGATGTGACACAGAGGCCCAGTTCCAGGCAAAATAATGTGAAAGTTCACCCATCAAGAGATTTGGAGAGGGATTTAATATCATATTATGGAAAGAGATCAGGATGATGGTCAGAATATAAGCCTCCTGGTATAAAGATAGCTAGGAAGATTGTAGCAATCAGCTGATGATAGGCCTAAATGATATGTACTTCTTTGTAAAGGCATCCCATGGAATACAATTTGAAAATTCCTAGGAATTACCTCCAGCAAGTTCTTTCAAACTGAGATGGCCTATGTCTCTCCTTTTAGAATCCTGCTTTCCTTCAGATTAAGCCTCTCCCCTTCTTTCTCAAGCTTCTGCTAGCTATTGGGCACTCGGGAGCCAGTATTCCAGCACGTGGAGGAGATAAGAATGACAGCAAGTACTCAAAGGCAGCAGCCAAGGCAGCCTAAAAAGATCATGAGGATGCGATTAATGAATAATAATGAGGAAACTCTTTTAAAAGAAAAACTAATGTTATGAATGTTTGGTATTAAATCACAAACCCTTCTAGGACATTAAAAATGATTTAATTTATCAAAGTTTAATTTTCAAGCAACTTTTTAGGAAGACAATTACTATGCAAAGACACTCTACCCATTTAATAAATGTTTGTAGCATGACTGATTGATCTCTGTCTGATAAAGGCTAAATTTGAGTGACTCTACTGGATGTTATAATTCAATTCATGCAATATAAAAATCCTGAGAGAAAGTAATTTATTTTTCTTGTATCCACTTCCCTTTCTTTCATTCCCACAACTTCTTGAACACACTCCTGAAGAACAAGGATTGATTTGCTTTTGCTTTTCTTTGTACTCCCAGTCTAACACAGTGCCTGGCACACAGTAGGTGTCTAACAAGTGCTTGTCGATGGGTTTCTTTCTTTCTTGTTTTTTTTTTAATTTTCATGCAGTTCTATTTTTTGTTTCCTGGACTTTATGGTATCCTACCTACCTATAATTATGCTGCCAGAGGATAAGATGCTGCCAGAGAGGAGCCAAGAGCAGCCAAGATTTCTGTGGTCTGGAGGAAGAACTATGATAGAGGGTATGGAGCACTTGGCAAACTTCCCTCTACCTCATGCCTGGCACAACACACAAGCAGAGATACCCAGGAGTCTGATTTGCTTTCAGAGGCATTCCCTAAGGTATCATCATTACACTGGCCACTGAGCTAAGGGTGCCAGCCTAAAAGAATAACACAGGAAAGGCACAGAAGGATCTTTATGTAACTGCATTTTTTAATCGATCCCTTAGTTCTCAAAAAGATCACCAGAAACAAATAAACACAAGTCATGACAGCTAGATGCCACTTTAATTTCCTTGTCTGGAAATATGGTCCTATTGCAGAGGAAGCAAAATTTGAAGTTCTTGCATAATTATTATGAATTGTTAACAAGAACAACAGAGCAGGATCTCATAGGATCATGAATCTAAAACTGGAAGGAAGATAGATCGTCGAGCTTACCTAGTCCAATCCTTTCCCTTTGCAGATGAGTAAACTGAGGCCCAAGGAGATAAAAAGATTTGCCTGGGATCACACAGGTAGTAAGTGACAGAGATGGAGTTTGAACCCAGGTTCCCTGATCCCAGAGACAGTTTCAGTTTTCTAACAGGAAAGATGCTATGAAAGCTACAGAAAATTATTGGACTTAAGAACTATAAAGAACATTGTATCTGGAGATTTGTAACTTGGATTGCAGAGTACTTTTTTTTCCCAATGCTTTGAAAACTATATCTTGGATATCATTGGTTTCCTTTGTGATCACATATTTTATTTTATGCATTTAAAAACATTGTTCTAAGAATACAAAAAAAGTTTAGGAATCCCTGATCTAGGTCAAACCCACTTACTCTACAGATTAAAAAATTGTGGCCCAAAGAAGCTAAATGATCTGCTTCTAACTCAGACTTTCTGAATGAAAATCAAGTGCACTTTCTACCTATGCCACATTCTGTTGTAATTGTAAATCAAAATCCTTATATGGGAATTTTTCTTCATCATGGAATAGTAAACTCTATTAGGAAGTATCTTTTAAAGCTACAACACATAAAAATGTCTTTTGCTTATTATTTAAATGTCTTAATATATATATCCTTATCTCCGCTTGCTATATTTTGAACATTCATTGTGATCAGATGTCACTGTTTTATATTGTAGTGCTTTCATACATTACTTTATGCTTCTGCCTCGTTGTTTTAATTTTTTCTCTCTCTTGCTTAATAAATTAATAAAACTCTGAGGAACTAATATATAAAGTGTCTCTTCCCTGAAAATGTTAGCGAAGAAAGTATTTATTTTATCTCTCTCCCCAAATGTACACATGCCTATGTAGCTGGATGCATGCCTACCCATGAGGCTCAGCATGGGACATATGGGTTTTCATCACCTAAAGGATGAAAGGAAACAAACTAGACCAATAAAGCACAAGGGACACTAAAGAGAAGCTAATCTAATCATGCTCACCAGTAGAATGAAGTGTTTTTCTCAAAATAAGATAGTATGAGGTGAGGATGCATTCCTTGATGGTGAATGGAAGCAAAGGGCTGAAGGAGATGGAATGGGGGAGTGAAAAGCTGACTGGATTTGGAGTCAGGAGACATAGGTTTAAATCCCAACTGAGCCACTTATTGTCTGTGTAGCTTTGAAGAAATTGCTTAACCTCTCTGGGCTTGCTTCCTCATCCGTAAAACGACTGTGTTGGACCAGATGGACTTCTAGGTCATTTCCAACTCTAAATCTATAATCCCTTTGAACCTCATAGAAAATGAAAGAGTTCGTCCAGTGATGTGCTGCTGCTAAAACAGAAAATGCTAGATACTTGCGTTTTTTTCATTCCACCATAAAAAATAATAACTTTTAAAGAAGTTGCTCCAAACAAAGAAGTTTTTCGCTAGGATATTATGAAACAAATCTCATTGTAATAAACCTATTTTATTATTTTGAAATACTGTAGCATCAAATACTAAGAACAGTAAGATGGATAGAGACTGGAGTCAGGAAAACCTGAGTTCAAATCCAGCCTCAAATACTTACTAGCTGTGTGATCCTAGGCAAGTCACTTAACTTCCTATGCCTCAGTTCCCTCATCTATAAAATGAGCTGGAGAAAGAACAGGCAAACCATTCCAATATCTTTGCCAAGAAAATCCTAAATGGGGTCAGGAAGAGTTGGACACAACTGAAACAACTGAACAACAACAAAAGTATCAAATACTAACTGAAATAAGAAAGACAATGGCTAAAAATATGGATGTCTGTGCTTGTAGTAGCCAAATCCAACCTGCAGCAAACATCTTTCGTTATGTACTTTCTATCTTTATCATGATCTCCAAAATGTTTAAAAGCAAACACTTACGGTTGACAAAGTTTCACCAGGTCCTGATCTGTGGTATTGGGAGGCAGTCCTCTGATATAAAGGTTTGTTTTGCTTAGTTGATCCCACCCTGAGCTGCTACTGTTGCTACTGTTGTTATTACTGCTGGTGGTACTGGGGCTGGGAGGAGCCATTGGGTGGGCTGGCACAATAGACTGCTGGAAAATCAAGAAGTAGCATGTTAGAACCTAGTAAATAAAAATTAGAAGACACTTGTAGCAATGATCACAGTGACAGTACAAGGGCCATTTAATTTCTATCTTCAATAGTTTTATCACCTTTTAAATACAAATATACTTCAACTTTCAAAAAAAAAAAATCAGGATGTGGCGATCTGGATGTACACACTTTACCCAAGGGAGTATTGACTTCACAGAGTTATTCACTGTAAGAAACCTCTAAATAGCAAGTTCCTTTGATGCCTTTAATCATGTAATTCAACTATAAAATATTTTCAGGAATATTGTGTATTTATTGTATAATGTGATATCTATGTATATTGAAACAGATTTAATTTACTTGTATGAAGCTAATATACAATTTAAAAATAAGATTCCCTTTTAACTTTTCAAGTGACTATACAATGAAAAAATTTTAAAAATATATCTAAAAGCAGATGATTTAGGGATAATTTTGAAGCTGTTCATTTTAACAGAAGGTCAATTTCTACCACAACAAAGGGTTCAACTAGTTCTATGGCAGGAATACAAAATCATTCAGACATCTGGAGATGGTTCACAGTTCTGCTAACTTTCTACCTCCTACTCCCCTCACCCCCTCAAATCTGGCTAAACTTGTGAAATGTAACTTGTGAGAACTTTGTTGTAGTTGGCAACAAGCCTGGGCTTCTCTCAGAGACAAACACAACTATTACGAAGAACAAAGCCCAGGACCCAATGCACTTTTACACTCAGCAGGCACCCAGGAAGAATGTCTGAAATCCTCGACATTCCAAACCTTCTCTGGACTGTATTGCTGGCAAGGTCTACTGACCCTGAACTGCTCTGCAGAATTTTAAGGAAGTCCTAAGTGTTTTATGCTGCAAATGCATGTGTGCAACCCTAAGTCTCAAGTTAATTAGCAAAAAATGTTAGCTGCTTTACTAGTAGAGAAACTGTACCTCCCCAATGCTCTTCCACATAAAGCCACTCAGTCAAGAAGAATGTAAAACTAAATGGTCAATGAACTTCCCAGAAAAAAATTGTTCAAATTTGTAGTGTAAATTCCAGTCTTTTCCCTAGCAATCCTCTTTCTGGCTGCTAGGTAGCTCAGTGGATAGAATACAGAAGATCTGAGTTCAACTCCTGACTCGGACATCTACTAGCTGTGAGACCCTAGACAAGCCACTTAGCCTCTGTCTAAATCAGTTTCTTCATCCATAAAATGCAGATAGTAATAGTATCTACCTCCCAGGACTGCTGTGAGAATCAAATGTGATAATATTTTCAAAGTGCTTTGAAAACTTTAAAGTGCTTTATGTTAGCTAGTAGTGGTAATAGTAGTTGCTACAGCAGCAGCAGCAGGTACTACAAATAACTTACTGAAGAATATGTAAGACAAGCATAACTTTCATTTTGTGGAGCAAACCAAAACAATATCAACAAAAAATCAAACCTTGCGGTGAAAGTACTCTTGCTCAGTCTGACTCCGTGCCACATATTTATGCTGTCTGTGTTCTTCTCAACTCTCTACTATAGACTTCTTGGTCTATATTAACAGTTTCTTCTGCATAGTCTGCTCACTCTACCCCCACCCTCAGTCTACAACATCCTGATCCATCAGAATAATCCATTCCTTGAGTTATCTATATTTGAATATTCCTTTTCACCATTCAATCTGGTCCTACATTATCCAATTCTTTCTTTCTACCTCTAAGGGAATCTTCTTTTCATAATCATAATTCTTCATCTGTAAATGAATGCTTAACAGCCTCTTATTTCCCTTCTAGATCTAGGATACTATGACCAAACTCCTACATATCCACACAAGTATTTTCTTTTTTTTTTCTTTTTTAATTAATTTATTTTGATTTATCAACAATCACTTCCATAAGCTTTTGAGTTTTAGATTTTTCTCCCCCTCTCTCCCCACCTCCCTCCCCAAGACTATCTGATATAGGCTATACATATACATTCCTATTAAACATATTTTCCCATCAGTGATGCTGTTAGTAAGAATTAGAACCAATAGAGGAACCACCAGAAAGAGGAAACAAAACACAACAGAAGAAAAAAAAATAGCAAATAGTATGCTTTGCTCTGCATTCAAATTCCATACTTCTTTCTTTGGATGTGGATAATATTTTCCACCATGAGGCCTTTGGAGATATCCTAGATTCTTGTATGGCTGAGAAGGGCTAAGTCTATCAATATTAGTCATCACACAACATGGCTGTTACTGTGTACAACGTTCTCTTGGTTCTGCTCACTTCACTCAGCATCATACCATACAAGTCTTTCCAGGTTTTCTGAAGTCAGTCTGTTCATCATTTCTTATAGCACAATAGTATTCCATCACATTCATATACCGCAACTTGCTCAGCTATTCCCCAATTGATGGGCATCCTCTCAATTTCCAATTCTTTGCCATCACAAAAAAGAGCTGCTATAAATATTTTTGTACATGTAGATCCTTTTCACACAAGCATTTTCTTAAATGGGGTAGTAATAAGTTAATTCAACAAGCATTCATTATATAACTTCTATATGCCAGGTATCATGTGAGAGGTGAGGTGGAAAGAGAGTCGCTTGAAGTGCCAGGAAGAGCTGGGTTCAAGTCTTGTCTCAGATAAATACTACCTGTGTGACTTTGTGAAAGTCACCTAACTTCTTAAGTCCTCACGCAAACTTAAGATTATGAAATGTGGAACAGATGCCAAACTGCTCTGAACCAACAGATTCACAAAGTCAGTTCCAGTGCTATATACTAGAAATACAGATGGAAAGGAAATAGTCCAGGTCCTAAGGATCTGTATAACAAGCAGAAATATGCATTCACAGATAAGTAAACACAATGTATTTACAAAGTAATTTGGTGTGAGAAGAACGGAGGGAGAACACTAGTAACTCAGAAGTGGGGGGCATTAGGATGGCCTTGTGAGGTGACTTTTGAATAGAATCTTGGAGGGAACTAGGGATGCAAAGAGACAGAAGTGAGAAGGAAGAACATTCGAGGCACAGGGGTGGGAGGGACCTGTGCAAAAGGCAGGGAAGGGGTAGAGGAAATGAGTTCTTATTAAAGGCCTATTATATGCCAGGTACTATGCTAAGTGCTTTACAAATATTATCTCATTTGATCCTCACAACCTTATGAGGCTGTTGCTATTATTATCCCCATTTCACAACTGAGGAAACTGAGGTAGACAGAGGTTATGTGACTCTTCCAGAGTCATACAGGTAGTGTCTGAGGCTGGTTTGAACTCAGGTCTTCCTGATTCCAAGGCCCAGCACTCTATCCTTCTAACCACCCAGCTGCCTCAAGAAACGTATGAAATGATGGAATGTCATATATTAAATCCAGAGTGTGTACACAGGGAAGTAACATGAAACCTCTCTATAAAGATGTATGAATGCCACATTGTGAAAGGCTTTGAATGCCAAAGGAAGAGTTACTATTTTAACCCAGATGTAACAAGGAGCAACTGACACTTACTGAAGACATTTACAAATCATTTCACAAATCACAAAGTCCTCTCCTCAAAACAATCCTATGAACTATGTGGACCCAGTCAGAGTGGTTGCATGATTTTCTCCATCTTTGTTCAGCAGCACCTGTATAGAAGTGAAGGCCATGAATGATGGGAGTGATTCAAGGCTACAGCTTGGCAGGATCTAACCGGCAATAGAGGAAGGGGACTAGGGATTCAAGACAGGAGAACAGTATAGAGTTGAACTGGTTCAACAAGGGGTCAAGATGGGGAAAAGAGGAAAAAGTAGCCAGTCATAAAACATTTATTAAACACCTACAGCGTACCAGGCACTGTGCTAAGCCCTCAAGGAGCTTACAATCTAATAGAGGAAGACAACACACAAATGAAGCTGAAAAGAGAGGCGGAAAGAAAGGGGGTAGTGTAGCCAGGATTACAGAAGGGATGAAGGGGCCTGGTGGAGAAGTCAGAGATGTCCCAGAGTAGTGTAATGCAGCCAGGTAAGCACTGAGAAGTTCTGAGCTAGGCTAGTGAAGAGGAGATGGCCAGGGAGAGAACTGAGGGGTCAAGGGATTGGAGGGCACAGTGCAGATAAAGAGTAGGGTTTTGTAAGGGAAGACAGAAGGAGAGGTGACCAAATCTCATCCACACCACCTATTTTAACCATCCTCTCTCTGTGGACTTCCTTCAATTTAGGTGTCGAGCTTTGATCTCTCTTGTAACCTCATGCCCTATATTACTAACAGCTTATTGACACCTCTACCTGCATAGTCTTCAAGTATCTTAAACACAATATATTTAAAACTGAACTTCTCTTTTCTCCAATACCTGCTCCTCATTTTGACTTCCACTGTCATAAGTACTAGTACTCTCTATAATTTGCATTTAAAACTTTGGTGTCAACTTTGACTCTTCCTTCTTAATCTCTCACAGATCTTATCAGTGGCCAAGTACCTAGATTCTACCTCTGCAGTGATTTGCATCAAATTACCCATCCTACCCACCTGAACAATTAAGATAGCCTGATAAACAGTCCCTTGGGTGATGCAGTGGACTTGGAGTCAGGAAAACCTGAGTATACATCTTACCACAGATGGTTACTACCTGTGAGATCCTGAGTAAGTCACTTAACCTCTGCCAAGTTTCTTCATTTGCAAAATGGTTGTTGTCATGATAAGTTGGGATAATATTTGAAAAGCACTGTGTAAAACTTAAAAGTGCTATATAAATGCTAAATTGTTATTAGTATCATCATCATCATCATCACCATCTCACACTGCTAGATTCACTTTCCTTATGCAGAGGTTGAATCATTTCATTCCACTCCTCATCCTATTTCTTAAAGAAGAGAAATCCCCAAACTCCTTAACCTGACATTCAAGACTCTCTATAAGGTGGGGAAAGCACACACTGTGGGTTCAGGAGACCTGGACTCAGATCTGGGCTTTCCTTACTACCTCTGTAACTTTAGGGAAGTCATTTAAGCTCTCTGGGTCTGAGTTTGCTCTTTGT